AGATGGCACTGCCCACCCACTGGAGACTGATGGGTTCAGAGCATGCTAAGAGAGGCACATCAATTTCATGCTTCAGTTGGGGGATTTTAAGGGCAGAAGCGTGCTGGGCTCTGAGTGCATGGCATGACTCTCTTGTTGAAACTGGCTCCAAGTGCAGGAGAGTTGAGAAATGGAGTTTCATGGGACTGGAAAGTGAAGGTAAGGGTGCTAAAGGGCCATTTCAAGTGCTCTACCTTTCTTATGAGAGCAGCCTGTGCATTACCTGTGCATTACTGCTGCCTTCCTGAATGTGCCCGAGTGAGCAGGGCTGTTATTGCCCTGCTTTATTTTGAGTTCACACCTCTGATAAGTGTTCACATAGATGGGCCATCTCAGCTCATGTCCAGGCATCTGCTTGGGAGGGCTTTTATGGATAGAGTATGACAAATGAAGAAAGCCTGAATAACTACAGATATGATGCCTGAGTGTTTTGGGTACAACTTGACAGGTTTATCTAATTATGGTTTCCTCCCTTTTCCTAGGAGCATTTAGTGTATCATTTCTATTTTCCCCAACTGCCTTTTGAATTCTAGTTAAGCTCTCCCTGGTTTTGCCTCAAGTCTCAAATAAAATGCAATTAATCTCTTTCAAAAGGCTTTTAAATTTTATTTATTTATTTTCCTTTATTGGGTGTGGTTTCCTTTGGACAGTACTTGTTTTACAGATACATGCAGTAAAATGCTCTGGAAAGCTGACACAGACCAAGTCAATGCCTAACTGAGAAATTTAACAATTCAGCTGTCTCCTTTTTGAAGTTCTTCTAGATGCTAATTTTGGATGGGAAAAAATGGCACAGAACTAGTCTGTAGGATTTATTGGAAGGATTTCTATGAGAAGCGGCTGAGGGAACAAAGGATGTTTAGTTTGGAGGAGGCTGAGGGGAGATGTCATGGCCCTCTACAACTACCTGAAAGGAGGTTGTAGGAAGGTGGGTGTTGGCCTCTTTTCCCAAGTCAATAATGAGAGGACCAGAGGAAGTGGCCTGAAGTTGTGGCAGGGGAGGTTCAAATTGGATATTAGGAAGAATTCCTTAACTGAAAGAGTGATCAGGCAGTGGAACTGCCTGCCCAGGGTGGTGACTCACCATCCTTGGATGTATTCAAGAAACATGTAGATGAGGAACTCCAGGGCATGCTCTAGTGACCAAGATTGTAGGTTGTGTGGGGGGGTTTTTTTGGGGGGTGTGTTTTGTGGTTTTTTGGTTGGTTGGTTTTTGGTGGGGGTTTTTTGTTGTGGTTTTTTTATTTTTATGGTTGGACTCAGTGATCTCAGATTCTTTCCAACCACAACTATTCTGTGACTCTGTGGAAGTTTGTATACCTTGTGTCATGATTTTCTTCTTTATTGAGATTGTTTTGGACTCATGAAACCTAGACTTTGCTTTTGCAAGATTGGTGCTATTTTAATTCTAACAATCTCGAGAGCAACAAACCCTGTTGTACCGTTTTCCTTTTAAAAATCTTTGTCTCGTGGAATTGCCAGTAGAAATGAGAGAGTTGAAGCAGCGTTACAGGCATTTTGATGCCGTTTTGACAGCGGTAGATTAAGGAGTTAATTTCGTCTATATGCCTTATGAAATGTGCTTTTTATTATTTTTTTTTTTCCATTTTTTTAAGCAGATAGTCAGTGCCGCGTTATGCAGGGAGACCTGAGGGTCTCCAGCAGGTGGCACAAGCCCGCCGCCGCCTGCAGCCCGGCAGCCTCAACAGCTTCCTGGCGTCATCTGCCTCCTTTTTTTTCGGAAGGGAATGGCCTGGCCCAGGGCTGATCTCCAGTGTCATCAGGGTCATCAGCCTACCCCCCCTGCCCTCGGCCGCCCTGGAAGCGGACCTGGCGGCAGCTCGTGGTGTCCCCCGCAGGATTTGCTCCATCTCCCTGCGCGCCCTGCTCCTACCTGCACCTAACTCAGGGTCCCTAGAAAGAGGGGCAGAGCACAGACTAAATCAGCTGCCTCCCTGGCATGGAACAACAGCCTTTGGAACACAGGACATAAAAAATGCCTTTTTTTTTTTTTTTTTTTTTTTTTTCCCCCCCTTTTCTATCAAGAGTCTTGAGTGAGTGACACGTGCTGCCCTTTGAACTGAAAGGTGCGTCGTTGGATTTTGCCCAGCACTGCTCAGCTCTTCCCCTGCACACAGATAGCTGTTTGGGGATGAGCTGCAGGCTACAGGAAAGAGGAGGGGAAAAGTAAAAAGGGGGAGGTGGGGGGGAAGTTTGCTCTGAAATCTTTCTTCAGGTGGAAAATGAGGAAAGATTTGTATACACTTAGACTTTGTCTGGAAGGAGTCCCTGTAAAGCCTTCACAGGTGTGTTGGGATTTTTCCCGTTTGTGCTGCACTTCTTTCCCAGCAGCACTGTTAGGAAGTATTTAATTAAAAGCCAGTGTCTCTACGTCAAGAGTTAGTGGTGTTGGTGGGCTTTATTTTATTTTTATTTCTTTTTTTCCCCCCAAATCTTGCTGAGCTGTAGGAAAGCCTTCCCATTCGTCTCTTTCCCCCCAAAAGGAAATGTCAAAGTATCAAAGTGATATAAAAATAAACATGGCTGAATATATGCAGGCAAGTCATGGTAGTAAATTCAAGTTCTGAACAACAACTAGATGGGAGAGACCATGAACATCAATGATTTGAAAAAATCCAGTACACAAATCTAGTTAAGTCAAGGAAACTGAAAACAAGGCCCAAAGGATTATCCATCTTCTCTCCTACAATAAATGATTCTGAATTCTGCTTATTGAAAGAAATAAATTTTAATTTAGACATTCCAGCACTTGCAAAGTGTATGTATGACAGAGCTGAAACCAGGTGAGGAACTGTGTATTGCATGAAGGTCTCAGAGGATACTGAGAACTGCGGCAATGAAGGCTTTTTAAAATTCCTGGCAGTGTCTCAAAGATCCACTGTAGTGTTTGTAAGTTTAAATTATTTTGATGGGTAGAAAAGCCTGCTTCCTTTGAACTGTTCTTTTCAGCTTAATTTAAAAATATATAGAAACCACAGGGAGGAAAATCAGCTTCTATGGCAAGATTAGATAAAGTGGCATTTCTAACAGGCCCATGTCTGTGACCAAAGGTTCTGTGAGATTTGAGTTTTAGCTTGGAGGTGTTTTCTTCCTGGTTCTCTCACCCTGGCCACCCCCCCTCCCCCTAGCCCCACCCCCAGAAAAAAAAGGGGAAAAAAAAAAGGAATTTAAAATAAATAAATAAATAAATAAATGTATATATAAAATAGGAAGCCACAAGTCCTGGAGGGCACAGCTGAAGAGGCAGCATTAAACCCCTGGGTCTCCAGCAGTGCAGTTCCCATGTGAGGGAGGGGATGGCCCTGTCGCTCCTCGCGGTCCTACCACACCGCCCACCTCGGTGCTGTGTTTGGGGCACAGATGGGATCAGGCCCTATGTACAGCAGCTGGCAAGAGGCTGGGTGTGTG